CACCGTTGACTGTTAATTCGATTTCATCCCCACAAATTTGACATGTTTGTCCACTCAATTCTTGTACTGATCGTATCTATATAGCAAAATCCACAAGAGTCAAAAAAAGAAACTGATCAGTCTTCTATCATCAAATCCTAGGCTCAAAAGAACATTTTTCGATTATGAATTAAACAATTCTGAATCAGAATTTTATAAACTTCTCAGTATTACTAGGACTTAGATAATTGTAACAGTAATTAGTACTGAATCAGGTGAAATCCAAATTTTTTTTTATAAAAAAAAAGTCGACTTTCTTTGAACTTATTGCTACTGCTACGACATTGAATTCGATGCTCAGGAGTCAGGGTAGCTTAAAGCCAGCTGACAGCATCGCCAATATCTGCCGACACGTATGAATCATGCAACATTTCGAGAAGAAAAAAAAAAAAAAAAACAGAACATGTGGGATGTGGCATCCTCAAACAAACATATCCATCTAGATTCTCAAATTTAGATCCAAAAAAGAAAAAGGAAAAAAAAAATCATTTTTTCGTAACAAATTCAGACAAAAAAAGTGTAAAATGAGATTTCTTTTGAGGAAGTTTTATTTGATTACCCTTGCATTCTCATCGGCGTTAATCAGCACGAATTCGTTTCTGTTGTGAGAACCAGCAATGAGCCGACCACCAGTATTCATGGCTTCTCCACCGAATCAAGAAAAGAAAAAAAACGAATTTTCTCTCTTGCAATATCAGCTCAGAGACATTGACCGGACCTGATTCGGATAATGGATCCAGACTGTTGAGCTTCCATTACACAGATTCAGAACATGCAGTAGAGAGACGGAGGAGGAGAGGAAAAATAAACCGAATCGACAATGAGTGTTTGGGTCGGGAATTTATAAAATTTATTTATAATATTTAAATAAAACGAAAAAGAAGAGATCCCGAAGGAGAAAAAACGAAAATTTCCCGAGTCGCACTTTCTCGGAGACAGCTATTTGATTCCACAACAACCACACCAAAAAAAAAAAAAAAAAAACTTTTTGGATTCAAGCGAGAGAGTGATTCACTGATTCAAGAGAATTTTACAGGCTGACAGAAGCAAATGGGTCTTTGATAAATTGAGAGAAAGGGGGAAAGAGAGACAACAGAAGAGGTTCAGACACAGCCCAGATAGAACTGTGTTGAAATGTGGGTAGCAAAATTGAGATCAAATACCGTTTTATACAAAACTTTCTTTTGTTAATTACACAAATAAAATTGAGATGTAAAACAAAATATATATACAAGAGACGTCGAAAAATAAGTGGGTCCCGGAGAAAACGACGATGGCTATGGTGGTGGTGGAGCTGGACTGTGCTCCACCTACAAGAGTTGGTAAGAGAAAGAAAACAAAGGTTTAACTTTGTAGCGAGTGAGTGAGAGCGAATTTTAGACTGAAACTGAGATATTTTTAGGGGTGTTTCTGGGATAATGAGAGTGTGGAAGCTAGACTGTTTCTCGATAAGGATCCGGGTCCTCGTGATCGGGTTCAAATTTATGTCTTCTTTACAGCCGTGTAATTTTATAAAAGTCCCTGAAGTTTTTGCCTTTTTATTTAAAACCCATATATTATTATTCTCTCTACTTACCAATCCCTATTTTCTATGTCAGTTGTTGAAATTATAGTTGATCAAAATGTACACATTCCAACCGAAAATCAAATTAATCTTTTTAAGGAAATGTAGTTATTGTTTTGTACAACTTTAAAAATTATGATTAGACGACTGAAACTATTTTGTGAATTATTGGATTATTTATTATAAACATCCAAAGTTTTTATGTAACACGTGAATTGTGTAATGATGGAAAATGAAACTAAAGTGTAGGAGCCTTTTTTTTTGTGTGTGAAGAAGCTTCTAAGTAGGTACGTTGCATAAGAATAATTTGGTTATCTTAATTAATCTCTGACCGTTGGATGAGTACCTCTTTCTGGCCAACCTTGAATAAACAATTTGTAACTTTGTGATTTTTAAATTCAATAAATGGAAGCTAAATATATTGTCGGTGGCTTAACCTTTTTCGTGGTTATTTTGTATTCTTGACAAATAAAACTTTTTTCTTGAATATTTGAAAAAGAGGAGCTAGCTACGTTTACAAATATGATCTGTTTTGTTTATTTAGATATTAATGTCTAGATATATGCTAAATGTCAATAGTCGATAGTGTTTATATATATGATATATACGAATATTTTGATGAGCCTTTAACAAAAAAAAAATGCACATATGATCACCATTTTGCTAATTAAAAACGTCGACTAATTTTCTGGAGATTGTGTGTATCTGATTTTTTTTTTGGTCAAATACCTACTTTTTGTGTTGCTTTGAATTTTTTCTCCTCCAAAACTTACATTACTAGTTTAGATATCTAATAATAACAAATATTCGAAATATTAGAATGACTCAAAACCCTAAACCTTAAATGGGAAATAGAAAATCCAAAATTTTAATTTATTTATGATAAACAAATATTTTCACATAATTATTTGTACTATTTTTAGAAATTTAAATTTGGTGTGCTGTTTTGAAAAAAATGATATTTTTGGTACTATTTAATGACTTTTTAATTTTCATAATATAAATATGTCATAATGATATTAATAGATACTTTTTAAAAAAATGTCTACTGCCGACGATGTTTCAATGCGTCGACTAATGTATCTTACCGAATATCGTAAATAGTATTGTTACAATGTCTCCGTCTTTGCAGAGTATATGAGGTTTATATGATGGCGAAATGATAACCAAATCATTATTTGGATGGTACGAAATTATTCATTCTAAATAACTAATATACGATGGCCAAAAGTAAACTACAAATAAAATATACGCTCAAAGCGGTCCTATCATGTACTTGTTACCCAAAAAAGCAATTTTTAATCTGCCAAGTGCCAAATGGCCGGGAAAAAGGAAATTAGTAACCACCAAAACCAAAACAAAATAAATCAAAGGAGGATTTACAAAAATACCAAGATATAATTGTTAGTTTGCTACTAATCTAATCGGTTGGATAAAAAAGTGCGTTAGGTCCAACGAATATCCCCTATATATTTTGCAGTCGCAACATGCACTATTTTACAATTTGTATTAATTTTGAAAACTACAAACTGAAAATCTAAAATCATTTGAACACAATTTATAGAAACATGATGTTTTGTACATTCATTTGTTTTTACAATTTTAGATTTTCACGTAATCCAGTTCATATCATGCTTATTGTTGATTATGGCATCCAATCTAAAACACACGCACGCACAGAAAATAGTGCTATGACTTATTCCGTTTTTTTTTTTTTTTGTAACTGAATTACTTCCGTCGTTGCATCCCTATTTATGGGGTGTACTGTGTACAAATATGCGTCGGTCGATATACGGGCCATTGTTAATTCAAAAGCATTCGATGGTCCGCAAGGCTCCACCAAATCGGACAACTTATGTAATTTGCCACATAGACATTCGTTATACTATCGGCACCGACGGGATCTTATATTAATTATCAAGTAAATAAAATGCCAAGAGAACAAATGAAATATGTGTTTGTTTTATTTTTCTTTTTAACGTGGGCTTGAGTTAGTTTTAGATGTATTACAATATTGTTTAAATTTTTCGGTTAGAAACCACTCAAATAAGGGAATAAATTTGACGAGAACTAATCAACTGTATATTTGCGATTCGGGATTACATTTAGTCACTATTATGCCTACAGTTTGATAATTTTTTTTTGATATTATAGGTCAATGACTCCTGTATATTTCGTGTTAGAATTGGCTCCGAAAAAAGAAAATTACTATCCTAACGACTTTTTCTATTTGTATGCACTGTGTTCTGTAAGTGTGCTCACAATCTGTCGGTTTCAATATTCATTATTTGATTCAACAACCCTATTTGCATTTATGTTACTGAATTGATTTTCAGAGAAATGAATAATATCCCTTCGATAAAAAGGTTCGAACGGGACATTCGAACGCATTTTTCTAATCCGAACGTATTTTTTCTTTAAAAAAAAAACATGAAATTTACCACCATTAGTATAATAGCATTGTGTATGTAAAAAGGTACGACACATCATGGTAATACGCACTAGGCCCACGCAGTTATTTAAATTCACATGATAAAAAGTGCTTTTCTGATTATTGATTATTAAATCGTTCAATCATCGGACTAACTAATTAAGATCAAGCCTAAAACGCTATAATGAAAATATATTCTTTCGGATTTGCACTAACCACCCAGATTGTATAATGAAAATTGAATGACATCGCCATTTGAAAATCATCACAAGGTTGACTTCTATTAAAAATTAAATAAATTGTTGCACAGGTTTTTTATTCTATCTTTTTGGAGTTTTCAACTCAATACTGAAATACGAGAAATTTGTTAAAACAAATAAATATTGATTATTGTGAGAAATAGTCTGAATAAAAAGAATCAACCCAAAAAAATCAGAAACAGAAAAATCCGAGGAGTAGATCTGGAAATAAGTTGGTAAAATATATGCGCTATTAGCAGAAGGTAGAGTGGGCTTTCACTAAAAATCTGTTCAAAGGAGGTTCATTTTAAACCTAAGCACAGAGCCACGAATTCGACAGATAAAATCGCCAAAAAAAATATGTGGCTGCTGGGATTCGAGCCCAGGTCTCCACGGCCACAACGTGGAATTCTCACCACTAAACTACAGCCACATTTTGTTATTGAGTTGCATCAAAAACTTATTTATCTTACATAAACAACCTTTCGTATGCAATTAGCCGTTACTCTTCTTCACCAAAGCCTAATAAGCTTCAGTAATCCTGTTTTAATTACTCTTTAACACCAGTAATCATTTCGATCCTTCCCCACTTCCCACCACTAATAAACCTTTTAATGGATCTTAATTACCACTAACCCCAAAAAATCAGTATAAATCCGAACCATCGCTAGCCAATCTGAACACGAAAATCACCATAATCAAAACCACATCACTTTTTATTCTAGAAATGGCTTCAAACACCACTTTCCTTTTAACCACCGTCGCACTTCTCGGCCTCCTTCTCCTCCAAAACACCACCGTATTCGGCAGAGATCTTCCGGCGGATTCAACCAACATAGTGGCGAGGCTCCAAAGCGGAGGAATAATGGAGTGTTGGAACGTGTTGCACGAGCTTAAATCATGCACTAACGAGATCGTTCTCTTCTTCCTCAACGGCGAAACAAAACTCGGTGTTAGTTGTTGTGAAGCCGTCGACATCATCACCACTAATTGTTGGCCGGCGATGCTCACTTCTCTCGGATTTACGCCTGAAGAAGCTAATGTCCTCCGCGGCTTTTGCAAGAATCCAACCTCCGGCGACTCTTCTCCAGCTCCTTCTCCCAAGAAAACTTGATTGTGATCACCGTATGATTTGCGTTTAGAACTTCTTTGTATTTACGGAATCAAAGGTTGTTCAAGAGCTTAACGAATCATAAACTTTTATAATTTTAAATCTCAAATCAATGATTTTGTGTTTGGATTCTGATACTTTTAATCTATCACCAAATTAAAGATTGATCAATGTTTTTTCATGAATCAAAAAGACACTTAAGAGCCAGAACATAAGAAGTAAAAACAGAGAGCTAGTGATTCGGTAACTTGTTTCAGAAGAAACCGATTCACAAACATAAAGCAGGAAACGAAGGTAACTCGAGAGACACACACACAACACAGGCACATGACTATGACGTAGATTTCAGACTGCTCCATGGTCAATCGTTACATTCGGCTCAAGGAGTTTGCTACATCGATCACGAACCTGTACCTAACATCAGACTTAGCAAGCCTATCCATAGCAGTGTTAATCTCATCCATCTTAATCAATTCAATATCGGCCGTAATGTTATGCTTAGCGCAGAAATCAAGCATCTCTTGTGTCTCCTTCATCCCTCCAATGTCACTTCCTCCCACCATTTTCCTTCCTGTAAACAACGAGTCAGGTTAACTTGTGTTGCACGAAACAAGAGTTTACAGGGAAAGTTTAAAGGATTTGCTTTACCGAGAACTAGAGGGAAAATTGGAAGCTCAAGAGGCTTCTCAGGTAAGCCTAAAGTGACGAGTTTTCCGTTGACTTTGAGTAAACCGAGCAATGGAAACAGAGCATGCACTGCTGAAACCGTATCGATAATGTAGTCCATAGTTCCAATTGCAGCCTAAAGTTTCCACACAGACAACACAAAAACAGATAAGCTTCTTTTGTTTCAGTTTCATATCCGTTACTATGTAATAATCATGGTATTTAAAGCGGGTGTCTAATCCGATTTAACCTAACGCATAGCCCAGAGATAACTCGTTGTTACCTTCATCTTCTGAGGATCAGTTGAGACAAGAAACGAGTCAGCACCAAGTCGATTAATCGCTTCGTCTTCTTTATTAGGAGAAGAACTAATCACAGTAACTTTCAAACCAAAAGCTTTACCAATCTTGACAGCAACATGACCAAGCCCACCAAGTCCAGCTACACCTAAATGCTTCCCTGGCTCAGTCATACCGTAATACTTCATTGGACTATACACAGTGATTCCAGCACACAGCAAGGGAGCACCCGAATCGCTTGGTAATCCCTCGGGAAACCGCAAAACAAACCGTTGATCGACCACAATGGTATCGGAGTATCCACCGTAGTTCTTGGTTCCATCGGATCCAATCGCATTGTATGTGAAAGACATTTGGGGACAGTAATTTTCAAGATCTTGGTCACACGATTCGCAAGATTGGCAAGAACCCGTGATCACTCCTACTCCTACACGGTCTCCTTCTTTGAATTTCGTCACGTTCTTGCCAACTTGTGTAGCGATTCCAACGATTTCATGCCTGGTTTATATCAAAAGTTTTTGTTATGTAATCGAATAATTTGTGAAATACGAGATTTGTTTTTGTTTTTGTTTTGTTTACCCGGGAACTACAGGGTAATACGAGAACCCCCAGTCGTTTTTAATGGTATGTAAGTCAGTGTGGCACACTCCACAATACAAGATCTTCACTGTCACATCATTTTCACCATTGTTTCTGCAGAGTTAACATCAAACTTTTCTAAATGAGACAAGACATAAAAAAAAAAAGAAGAACTTTGTAATAGATCTCAGACAGAAGTTTATATTTCATTGAGCATAAATTGAAAAACAGATCTAATAAATTTTATTCAAGTGTTAGAAACTTGAGCTTTTTTAGAAAAAAAGAAACTAGTTCGAAAAGAACGATCTGACTCAGATCTGAAAAGAACGATCGACATCATCTGAGTAACGGTAGAACATAAACCAAAACAGAGTACGAGGAAGATCTTGGTTTTTGGTCTGAGAAAATATAACGAAAAAAAGAGGCTGGTTTGTCTCTGATGATAAGAATATGAACCTTCTGGAAAAATGGAAAGGAGAGAGAAGGCCAGATTTGTCTTTGGCAGCCCAACCAAAGGCTTTGTTCGGATGCTCTGTTTCTGGAGATTTCGCCATTTGGTTATGTGTCTGTCTTTGTTTCAGTGAGTGAGATATTGGATTTCTATTCTGTGGTTGTCTCAAGGGAGTGGTGCATATATGGGCACTTACAGAGGAGAGGTGGTAGCTCGAGCTATTAATATCTCTCTTTTATTGCTTTCAACATTTTTTTTTTTGGGGGTCGAATTGCTAATTTGCTTCTATCATTAGATTACGAAACTATACATGTTACTATTTTTTTCAAAGCATGTAAACTAATGTTGGAAAGAAGTAGATGTTCAAAGGTTTGGATGTAATTCTTTAGAGTCAAGAAGTCGAATTAATGGTAAAAATTCAAGTAGTTTAATGTTTTTATCCTCATTTCACACTACTTATGTGATCAGTTTTATGATTTGCCATACTATCCTCTTAAAAAGTACAAAGAAAAAAAAATCCTCTTAAAAAAAAAGAAACATAGAACATGTTTTCTACAAGGTTTCATTTGATTTGTAAGAAATTATCTTGTACTATCAATCTATATCAGTTAAGTACTTCTAAACAAAACTATTGCTTTGATCATTTATGTCGTTCATGAACCGGTGGTGGTTAGAAGTGGCCGCGTTTATTATTACAACAAACTATGGACACATGTTTAAATAATATTGGCTGCTTCCTACAAGTATAATTGACAGGTCGAGGCTCGAGAGTTTGGTGACCTTTTAAATTGCTGCAAATTTTTTTTTTTTTGGGGTCAACTTCTTAAATTGCTGCAGTTAAAAGGTTTGCGAGTTAGTTGTCTCTCAATTAAATGCTCGAAATCGGGATCCGTCTTCAGGTCCCGGGTCTTTTATCTACACGTTAAAAAGCTCCCATCCCACTAAAGACTTCCACATTTTGATGCTATGGCCCGTTATGATCCAAACAGAGACTTTAATAATGCGTTGTAAATGGCCCATCAACGCAAACGCAGAAACTGGCGCTTCAAATGAAATATAACACCAGCATCAGTATTCGGAAATATGGCGTGTCAATTCATCTAACAAATCCCGCGTCTGCGTTTTGGTATCGACAACAAACTTACATGTAAACAAAAAAAAACAAAAACAAGCGTTTGCTAACAGGAATCTTAAACGCAGAAACTAGCGTTTCAAGCATCTTCCAGCTCATGTAATGAACTCAGTGTTTGCATTTGGAATCGAGAACAAACATAACCTAAAACAAAAGGAAAATCTTGAATTAGCGTACTGCTATCAAGAACGCTACCGCAGAAACTAGCGTTTAAGTTCTTTAAGCTTCTCTTCTGACTTCCTCTGGCTTCGCCTCTGTTTCTGTCTCTTTCACAGTCGCATCGTCGTTCACTTTCTCGCCACGAACGGTGGCCTCTTCGTTCCCGACCTTCTGATCATTCGTCGGAGCTTTTGTCTCCATCACTGGAGATTTTGTCTCTGTTACCGGAGATGTTGCCTCTTTTGTTGGAGATTCTACCTCAGCCAAAGCTGTTTTCCGATCTTCAGTTACCGGCATCTTTTCCGGTGTTGTCTTCTCGTCTTCTTTCGTTTTCTTTTCTGCCTTTTCCTATAAACCAAGAATCACAAACGATATACAAAGATTAATATAATTACGCATATACCATCCCAAAAACTATTACATTACATATGTTTGTGTTTTCAGATTTTAGTGACTTACCTGAAGGAACAAGCTGCTAAGAGATTTCGCAGCGTCGATCTTCTGATATTCAAGAACTGACACCTTAAGCTCCTCCGGCGCCGGAGCTCCGACTTCCGACAAAACTTTTGGCTTTAATGCACAATTCCCCATATAGCTGGCCTTTTGTATTCTGAATTCTTTTACTAGTTCTTGTTCGAGTTATTATACTAAGAGCATGAACTATTATATAGGCATGCACACACACACACACATGTTATGTTTATACAGTTGTGCCCGTCCATCTCGTTGCGCGGTTAATTAGATAGCGAGGTGGGGATACAGAGAGGCCTAAAGACGAAAAATACATCGATTTTTAGTTTTTCCTTTCTTATATTATCACATTATCCGTATCATGTGTTAGACTTCTACTATTTACTAAGCAGAACTGACTAATTAGTGCCGAAGGTTATTAAAAACCGGAAATCATGTACATTTGTATTAATGATTGTGATTATCTTATTTTCGTAAAAGGAGAGTTGATTATTTATCTCTACAGCTTTTAACTTTTGTCCCCCTTGAGTAATTTAAACAAAAAAGCTGGCGAAATTGGCGTTGGATGATTTGTCCGGTGAATGTGGGGCTCCCGTATATTTCTGGTATATTGATCTATATTCTAGTATACCAACATTGAAGTTATATAGTTGGTGGACAAAGAGAAAACGGGGTTAAGAGTAAAGTGCAAGAAAGTTTAGATTCACAATTATTAGTTGGTACGGTTATAAGTTTGATTATGTTCGTTAGAATGCTTATAAGATCAGGATTAATAATTTGAGATATTTAACATCCCATCCCATCCATGCTCCAAAAAGACTAAAATCAAGAAAACACGAGCCAAATTGAGAAACAATCTGGTCCTCAACGGGACCAAAGCGGTTCTGTAACTGGTAACACGAAGCAGTCTTAAACAGCAGAATATCAAGAATCAAACCATGGACGCTTCAAGATCAAGACCAATGCTAATGATGGTGTCACCGAGGAACTCCCAGTTCTAAGAGACGATGAGAAAATGGAAGAAAATCAGCAAACAAGATTCAGTAAATGAAAAACATCGGACCTTTTGCGTTGTAACTTGCACGAACAATCAAACTGAGTTTCAATGCAAAAAAATCTGTGGATGAATCCAAATAGCAATAGAAAGATCGCAAGAACTTTGAAGCAATAAGTCCATGTGAACCATGACAATACAATCGACGAAAGAGTTCAAACGACAAAGAGTACTATTCTTGTTCATTGATTGTCTGAAAGCAAGTCCTATTATTTTTGATTATTTTCGCCTTAGATAGATCTCCAGCAGACCGGGGTCACAAAGGCGTGGCAAATCCTATCGCATTAGGTAGAAGAACCACAAGTCAGAGAAGCAAAGCTTTAGGACATAACACAAGTACGTAAAGAATCTAAGACCGACCATATATCTCAACAAAACATGATTTTGGAAGAGAAAGTAACAATTTCTTCCTTGAGAAACCTGTCGAAGTTCACAATTCGAGATTCTAGCGTTCAATTTTATCCTCGAAAACTTTCTAAATGTCATAAGAACCAGTGATAAAGCAGAAAAACAGATACAACCCACACAAAAAAAAAAAACTAGCACAAAGACAACAAATTGAAGGAAAATAAAAACCAAAACAAGCAATTAAAAAAGAAAGGATGAAAATTTACCCTGGGAAAGCCAGCTCCAACAGGAGGAATCAGCAGCGATGCTTGACCGGAGCCGTGCTGAAGCAACCGCACTATGAAGCGGAATCATCGTTTCAACGCTTCCCAAAGCCGAGAGAACCCTTCAAATTGCATTGAGAAAGTTTTCCTGGATTTAAACACCACGCTTTCCTGGAATTAATGGAAATTAGCTGAAAATGAGTGCTCTCACCTTGAAGCGCGAGGGATGGATTGGGACGGTGAAGCGAAAGGAGATGAAGTCGATGCTGGTTTAAGATTGAGGGACTTTTGGGTTACGATTTTGGATCTAGATACTAAGTTTCTGGAACCTGCCACTAACGCTGATCTGCAAAACGATGCCATCTCTCTTGATTTTGACCAAATTTTGTTTTCCTTGAACGGGATTGAAATGGACGAGCGGTATATGAACAGATAAATAAACCCTACAACTAGCACGACGTCGTTAAGGTAATTTTTAATTTATTCAGATAAATTCTATTAATATAGGGTCCAGCATTAGAAGTGAACATTCAGTCTCATCTTTGTAACCCTCATGTATGTTAATTCCATTTTTTTAACAGATGTACTCATCGATTCTTCTCAACATAAAACATAACACATTAACTACTCATTTGGTTTAAAAAAATGTTTTATTGATAATTGAATATACTTTACAAAGAACTTCTGAAATGCAAATACTTCAACCAAAATAAACTCCAACCCTCCAACACTAAGAGCATGTACATCAGGGGATCAAGAAAGGTTCATGGCATAGTTTTTGAGACAAAATAGTTTAATATTAAAGATAAAGTATCATCCGAACGAACCTAAAAAACGATATCATCACAAATGGAGCATCCTGATTGGTCAAAAATTATAATTTTCGAATTAAAAAAAAAAGAAAAACTAAAAAAAATATTATATCCTGGTAAACCCCTCCCTTAAGATTTCACTGATATACATGCTCTAAATCTTTACATATTAATTTAATTGACATTTCAAACATTTTGGTGTGTATATATATTAAGTCTCTTATTGATTACTGATCATTTGAGTTTAGTCTAGAAGATTTTTTCACATAGATCTATCAAACAGATCAAACTTTTTTATGATAGGCCAGTTTTACAATAGGTTAATTTTTTAATTTTATTTATAATGATCTACACCATCTTTAAGTTTTAAATGTGCATATAAGGTTAATAAACCAGCCATATCAAGGTTGATTACATTGTTAATAAATTTTGTTTTCTCGCTCCGCTCTGTTTTCTAGCTCTTCCCTTTTCTCATATTTATTTTCTTAATTCTATCAGTCAAAATGAATAACTTGTCGGAAGCAACTTTGCCGACCAATAGCAGAGCGAGCAAAAATTTTGACTGGAATCAATACCACTAAAACTTACGAATACATTATATATTTTTTACTTTGCTTCTAAAATATTTTATAGAAAATCGACAATAACAAAAGTGTACAAAAGAAGCACACAAATTTTTGTTTTTAATATGTTGTACTTTGATTAGTAAATTACCACATTCATCAAACAAACTATTGTATATATGATGAATACTTTCAGCATTTTCAATTATTTTAGAAGAAATTTATTATTATGTAACCTACAAAGAATTAGTGTCACACATTAACATGATTTTATAAATTTCAATGATGGTTCGTCTCAACGAGTAGAGACTTCTTTTGACCAAGAAGTGGAATACTTATATCTTGATATAAAGTTCATGAATCACGGTGAGAACCTGCTGATGCTTTACAAGTGAGGAGGAAAACAAATTTGGTGGAAGGAGCTCAAAATCATAAGACAAGGAGAAGAGATCACGGATTACATATTATGGTGTGAAATGCTCTTAGAGATGCTAAACGGAGTCTTTCACATCCATGAGGTGGTTTCTGCTCTAATATAACTTTTTTCTTGTAACACAAAGTTAACTTGATTTGAGATTTTTTTAGGCTTTGTTTTTTTTTCAAGCATATTCGAGGAATTGTCCAAGTACTTTTTGTAACTCAACCTCTCGTCTTCTTACAGTATCGGTCAAAATATAAATCTTTTGTAGTACTTGATTTTCTAGCTTTTTCTAAGTACAATCCACTTATTTTTTCTACAGAACTACGCCGATTAAACGGCGAAGCACGAGTATTTAAGCTATTACGGTTATACAAAATATACACCGCAGGGATAAATTCAAATATAGGGTTTGAATTTATAATCTATTTTCAATAGAGTATATTTACTTTGACATTCACAGCTTAGACCCCAATTTAATCATATCACTGTATAGTTTTTCATTCCTAATTATTTTCCATTCAATCATATACAGCATAAAGATTATGAATTTATGGGAATTTATCAACAAGGGAATAAATCGGAAAAAACAAAATTTGAAACTAAAAATAAAAAAACAATTAATATTGATCGTATCGTGTGTGTATTTGGTTTTAGGCTTTTTGCTATACATCTTTCATACTTCGTCGGCTCGACGCGGCACGGCTACTTCCCCTGGTCGACGATCCCGTTGCGCCGCCGGATCTCGCTAAACCTTCCGCCTGGGACAGAAGGCTACTTGTTCCCGCCGCGACTGGATCAGACAAGCTTTGTCTCCAACTACCAAAAATTCGTCCGCTACTCGACGATCCTCTCGAAGATCCCGTCGTACGGAATCTCTCCGATTCGCTGCTGTCTTCCCTCACGACTCTCAGAGGATTCTCTAGGGCTTGGACTATGTGTCTCATAAGCGGTCTTCTCGTGGGTTTTGGGTTAAGACAAGATCTAGCGACGATTGCCATTGCCCACACTTCTTCCAAGAGGTCTTCGTCGACGAGAAGAGATTGGTCTAGAATGTTCATCACTGGTTCTTTCTCTTGTGATGAAATGTAGGGCAGGATCTCGGTTAGGATTTTCTTTAATTGGGATTCTTCGCATGAGCTGATTCCGAGTTTTCCTGTGATTAGCTCCAGTAGTATCTTGCCGAAGCAATAGACATCGTACGCACATGTTGCTGTAGCTGGAGAGCCTGGAAATTTGTATTTCATTGTTAGAACTTATTTTTTCTTTTTCAGTTGTGAATCTAATTTCTTAATATATGAAGATAAACGCACCAGGAACACTTTCTTGAGAAGACCTGAAGAGAGAACAAAACCAAAAAGCAGAAGAAGCTTGTTGTTAGATGTTTGATCTAATCTGGAAAAGTTATTGCAACTCTGTGTCTGAATTGGAGACACTTACTGGGATAATCTGAGCAATCGGGCGATTTTACGTGGACGGCCGCTGTTTTCTTGATGACAAGCTCTGCTGAAGCTTCCAAGCCTTACTTCAAACTTATCATCCAGGAGAATGCTGCTTGCTTGAACATCTCTATAAAGACAGTTACATTGGAGAACTCAAACCTCAGTATGAACAGATGGTGAACTGAGAGAAAGAAAAAAAAAAACATGAAAAGGGATGATTTTTACACCTGTGGACGATAGATGGTGAACAGTCGTGGTGCAGATAAGAAAGTCCCTCTGCTGCTCCCAATGCGATTTTCAGTCTGGTGATCCAATCAAGAGATTTCAATCCGTCCTCAACCAGGGAATTGGATTTATAGAACAACGAGCTTGGTAAATCTCTATTTGGCATGTACTTATACACCAAGAACTTATGGGTTGTGTCCTCTAAGTACTTTCCTACAAATGGGACAATTCTCGGATGAGCAAACCGGCTGAAGAAATCCAACTCGGTTAGGTACGCTTCGTTGTTCTTCATCGATTCCAAGCTGATTCTTTTCACAACGACCTGAACTCCGGTTTCTAGAACGCCCTTGAAAAGATCCCCCGATTTTCCTTTCTTGATCAGGTTCGAATCTCGAAATTCCTTCGTGGCATTGCGCAGCTGTTGATAAGTAAATGACGATCCAAGACTCGCAAAGTTCATAGAGACTCCTCTTCCCGAGGGAAGTGTTTCATCAGGAGGCAATGGGCCAACGCCGTTGTGTCTTCCTCTAGGATGCGTACTACTTGATGATCTGTTTCTTCGACGGACACAGAAGCTCACGGTTATTGGTAACAATATTAGAATGAGCATAACCAAAATGGACCCTCCAACTGCAGCAAGTATAACAATGGTCCTGTGGCTTAACCAGGTAGATTTAGGCTTCTTTTTCTGTGCAGGTTGTTGTCCGAAGTTGTCGAAAGTTAATCCCTTTTTGGAATAAAACGAAGCGCAATCCGACAATTCCCTCTGGTTCATTGGCCCCTGAAGACAATTGTTGCTCAAGGAAGCACTGATGGGTATGAAGTCAGGAACTTTACCTGCAAAATAGTTTCTTGACAGATCAACAACTTGGAACCTTCTCAGCAAAATTGTGAGATTGCCGTAAAACATGTTCCCGGATATGTTAAGCATTGAGACCGTAGAATCAAAAGCAACAGTGGTATCCGGCAGCATGTCGGAGAATTGATTTCCAGAAAGATCTAGAATCGTCAGTTCTGGTAACGACCATAACCTGGAAGGTAAAACGCCGATGAAACCACTGCCTCTGAAGTCAACGATCTGTAGTTTACTCAGGAAACTAAACAGATCAGGAGGTAGGGATCCTGAAAGCCGATTTCCGGCAGTTACAAGTGTCAGCAAGTTTCTTAGCTCTTTTAACTCTGTCGGAACCGAACCAGACAGGTCGTTGAAGCTGAGATCGAGTTCAACTAAAGCAGAAAGGTCTCCGATAGATGGAGGTATGGAATAGGACAAGGCGTTATGCGAAAGATTCAGACGTTGGAGCTTTGAGAGAGCCCCGATGCTAGCAGGAATCAGACCATTTACCGAGTTTGAGGAAAGATCAAGAATTGATAGGTTCTGAAGAGATGTAAGAGACAGAGGAATACTCCCAGTGATTGAATTCTTTGAAAGATCGAAGACTGTGAGGCGTGATAACCCACTCAAATTTGCAGGGATGGTTCCTGTGATTGAACAAGAGCTAAGGTCCAACACCTCCAAAGTCAACATACTTGATCCGAACCAAACCGGGATTGGACCTGGAAGAGAGAACCTTGAGGCGTTGAAAGAGGATAAACGGGTGAGATTCAGTAGTGAATCGACTGAGAATTGTGGATTTTGTTTCCCAATCCTTGTTCTTCTAAACCCTGAAATGTTGATCTGAATTACACTACCA